TCAACTTACTTAAAATACAACAATAGTTTGCATAAAGCCCCTTTCAAATTTGATTAGCAATCTTAACAAATATATGCTAGAGATTAGATAGATGGACAGATGTTTCTTAGAGTTTGTAGACTAAACTGCTGAAAAGATTTCTATGAAATTTGGCAAAGATTTTGAGGATAGTCTGAAACGACACATAGGCTATTTTTGTTTCTTTTAATTGTACACGATTGGAGTCGGAGGGGAAAACTAGTATTCTTAGAATTTAAGGTAGTCATGAGGAGGGGTAACATACCGTATGACGTCCGCCATGGTGGGCGGGGCGACGTGCTCCGCGGCGCCGTCGCACGCCTCGCCCTCCTGCGACAACACGACCTCGTATCAATACTTCACGTAGGGTAATATGGAGATAATGCGGTCGTGATAGTAAGGAGGGCAGGGGAGGGGGTGCAAGGTATGTTACCTGCGGCTGCGCGGGGTAGAGCGCGGCGCCCATGTCGTGTCGGCGCGCGCGCAGGCAGCACAGCAGCCGGCTCATGTGCGGCGCCGCATCGCCGCCCTCATCGCACCACCGCACCCCCGCCCGCAACCCCCGCAGCAGACACCCTCACACACGCGCACCCTGCAACACAACACGTATTAATATTATAAACTAGCTAGAGCTAGAAATTAAAAAATTATAGAAAATATAGCTTATGTTACTCACAGATAAATTACCTTTCTAATGGTGAAAGAATTTTTGTAATCGGTTCAGTAGTTTTTACGTGAATCGAATACATACAAAAATACAAATATATACTCTTTATAGTATTAGTATAGATGAAAAAGTTTTAGATGGATGTTTGTTAGAGTTTGTAGCCTAAACGACTGAACGGATTGCGATGTAATTTGGTATAGATGTAGAGGACAATCTGGAAAAACACATAGGCTACACATTTTTGTTTTAATGTTAATTTCACGAGGACGAACTTGCGAGCAACAGCTAGGATACAATATGTTAACCATTGATAGCGCCATCTATTGAATTTGGTACAAATATAAATATCATTACGCGAGATATTTCTGAATTTCGAAATCTCATATGTACAGTTGACGTCAAGGACTAGTTTTGTTACTGCATTGTATACCTCTATCTTGTAATACTAGCTGTTGCCCGCGACTTTGTCCGCGTGAAATTGAAAAGTAATAAAAATTGAAGGCTGTGTTCCAACAGTGAAATAATTTTTAAAATTAGCCTAGCAGTTTTTACATGAATCGAATACATACAAAAATACAAATCTTTCCGTTTTATAATATTTTTTTTATAATATAAGGTGGCAAACAAGCAAACGGCCACCTGAATCCACCGAAATGGAAGCGACCGCTGCCCATAGACATCTGCAATTGCAGATGCGTCGCCTACCCTTATCCGACGGAGGAGAAGACGCACATAAAGAGGATATTTCCTCTTCCTATGCATCTCCTCCATCGTCAAATCCACTTCCCTTCCCATCCTCTCCTTATGAGAAAAGGGTGGTAAAGAGAAAAGGACTGAAATTAGGCCTCCGACACCACACTCATCTGACGAAACACGGCATTGGTTCCATTTGACGCCTGTCTTCTGTGTGGTCGTGGTATTACTGGGGGCATGCCCTGCAGTGCTAAGATGTTAAAGCGGGCACTACCACTGTTAAACATGTATTTAACTCAAACTATCGCAATGAAATAACATAAAGAATTAATTAAAAAACATACGCATTGAGCGCACAAAGTAAACTAGGTCGCGACTTAACGAGTCATATGAGGCTGACGTGTGCTCAGCGACATCACGACTTGTTACACTTGTAGGGTGTAGGCAGAGAAAACTTACATGTAATTAACCTAACATTAATTAAAAAATCCTGACTAAATAAATCTAATACGAAATATATACAAAAGTATCGAAATATAGATTTACGAGCTTTCGCCCGCGACTCCGTCCGCGAGGAATTAAAAAAAAACTAAATCAAGTAGCCCATGTGTTCTTCCAGACTATCCTCTATATCTGTGCCAAATTTCATCGAGATCCCTTCAGCCGTTTAGGCTACAAACTCTAACAAACATCCAGCCATCCATCCATCTAAACTTTCGCATTTATAATATTAGTAAGAAGTAAGATGGATGGTAGTTAATTTTTTTTCACTTTTTTTAGTGTTTTAATTCTCACAAATATTTTGAATAGTTGTAATATGAAAACCGAATAAAACCACACCTTATTCATGAAAATCAGCAACTCATTTGGTTAAAAGCAGTTACAATGGATTTGACATACAAAGAAATCCAGAAACATAAAAACAAATATTACCCTGCTTGTCAGTAGGGAAAAACACTTCATAACACATTTATTACCACAAACTTACGAGTTACTAGATTTCGCCATAGACTCTGTCTGCATGGAATTGAAAAAAAAAACAAAAGTAGCCTATGTGTTCTTCCAGACTATCCTCTACATCTATGCCAAATTACATCGAAATCTGTTTAGTAGTTTAGGCTACAAACTCTAACAAACATCCATCTAAACTTTCGCATTTTTAATATTAGTAAGATTTACTTGGTATTTTTAATGAGTTAAAATGTTATTGAGATTCAATAACCATTCTTTAGAACAGAGTTTCCCATACTTTTTTGTACCATAACAGTGGTAGTGCCCGCTTCAACATCTTCGCACTGCAGGGCCGGCATGCCCCCATTAATACCACGACCACACAGAAGACAGGCGTGAAATGGAAGCAATTCTGTATTTCGTCTGATGAGTGTGTTGCTGGAGGCTTAACTATAGTCCCTTTCCTTTTCCACACTTTTTTTTAGAGGAAAAGATGAGAAGGAAAAGTGGATTTGATGGTGGAGACGCATAGGAAGGAGAAATGTCCTCTTTATATGTGTCTCCTCTGACAATTAACGCATCTGCAATTGCAGATGTCTATGGGCAGCGGTCGCTACGCCATTTCGGCGGTTTCAAGTGGCCACTTGCTTGTTTGCAACCTTATGTTATAAAAAAACTAATGTAGTAACTTTCAAAGAAGTTACCGGAGAAAACAATTTCACTAAATTGTCTACTCTTAATATTTCTTATGTCTTTGTACAATATTTTTACATGAAAAAGAATGTAGGCCAGCAGTAGATACACTACTATCTGATTATATAAACATTTGCTGCAACATCAAACTATGTCAGTACAAAACAGATATTGTTTTGAAATCAATACTACTTGTATTGCAACTGTCTTCTCTCTGTTAAAAAATCTTTTAAAAGACAAATTACCTAATCTATACTATTATAATAAAGCGTAAAAACACACTTCTTTGTTGCCTAAGATGTCAGCAATTACAGCATATTTTTGAATAATTCCTTTTTTTTTTAATTAAAAGCCCGACACTCATGACATTTTTAGGCTATATATTTCCATGCCATTAAACTCAGGAGGTAAATATTTTGGATAAAAACCCAATGTGGGAAAGAGACCATAAGTTGCTGCCAACATCAAGGAAGCAAGATTGCCAAGGTTTATCATGTCATTTTGACATTTGCTATTGATAATTTGACAAATGTAAGCAGTAATATAAAATTTCCATAATTTCATGCGAGAAGTCGCATGGGAACAGCTAGTCTACAATAAAAGGATATAATTAAAAAACTAATTTGAAAAACATACTCTTAAATACAGATAGGAATAAAAGTTAAAGCAAATGAGATTCTAACTAGTTATTTTCACTATTTTTTTTCATTCACCCAGATATTCAGTGTTTTAATTAAACCTATAAATGATAAACCTTTCACCAGTAGGGTAAAAACATTGTAACTGTGGGAAATCATAAAGTATTGATAACATCTTTGTATTATGATTAATTTTATAAAATCATACTACTATTATAAATGCAGTTTAGATGGATGTTTGTTAGAGTTTGTAGCCTAAACGACTGAACTGATTTAGATAAAATTTGGCATAGATGTAGGGGATAGTCTGGAAGGACACATAGGCTACTCACTTTGGTTTTTTTTTATCCCACGCGGACAAAGTCGCGGGCGAAAGCTAGTTTTAAATAATTTTAAATGATAAACTATTAATTTTAATAATTAATCCAAAAATGTATTAATAATTTGCTATTTGTTGACAATTATTTCTAATGTACTATATATGTATATCTATGCATGTATGTCTATGTATGTCTATATATATATATGTATTAAAAATGTATAAGTCATCATATTCTAACTAACATATAAAAAAATAGAAATGGTCTTTATGAATACTACAAAACACAAAATAACAAATACTATAATTTATTTACTGGGATGTCTGAGTTTGTGAACAATTATTTTAGTAAATATCAAATAATACATTTAAAACAGAGTAATATTGTTATTTTTATAAGAATCATAATTTCATAAAAATTGGTACATAGTAAAGTGTACATACACAATAGTGGTTAGTACATGAATGATACATAATTTATACATGGCCTAATAAACTGACACACTACTGAAAGGGAATCTGATTGGGGTGTGAAGCGGCTAGGGGTGGTTATGACGTCAGAATAAGTGCGCACGTCGGCTAACACCGAGTGACCTAGTTTCATCCCTTGCGACATCGCGGTACGAGGCTATTGCTAACAGAAATGTCAACAGGCCACGCTCCACCTTCTACACAACAATATCTGCCTAAATACAGTCAATTATTACGAAAAAATAACTAAAAACCTGGTTAAAACATTTGATAACAACAATCACTACTTAAAAAATAAAGTTAAAAAAATTATAAGGGTAAATATAAGTTGTATTCAGGAATATGATACTAACCAGCAATGCCAGGCATCACAGTTAAATCCACAATTTAATATTCCGATTTTTCACATATACACAGTACTGTCACGCACCGCCATTAGTATCAAATCACGTCACTTAAAACTAAAATCACTGGTCCAGGCGTATGTTTTGCCGTCTAATTTATGTTTAAACTATCAAATGATATTTCTTTATAATTATTTTACATAAATAAGTCACGGATAAAAGCTCTTCGAGTGATAAAAGTAAAAAACAGAGGCCAAATCAACCCCGTTACACTTCCTCGGTATGTCGCGATTTGAACATTGCTGCCAACTACGCGAAATAATAAATAAATATGAGGATTGCCAATATTTTAAATAATAAGACTCCGATTCACGCATTTTTATTTTTTGAAATGATGAATGAAAAAAGAGAATTTAAATTGACTTTACAAGTTTTTCGATCTTGTTATTTTGTTATCGGCCCAATGAAATGAAAACTTAAGATCCCTCCAAGGAAGTACATTATTACCTCCATGGGTCCCTTTTAGGCACGCTTTAAGTTTAGGTTTCCTTGTTATTGTCTATAAATATCGTTTTATAAAATCTAGGGAGGTAAGATTAACAAAGAAATGTTTTCTCATTTCTCAATAAATTCCTGTGATGATCAGCCATTTGCCAGTGACAATCATATGACAACTGAAGACTATTAATGACAGTGACACTGGCAGTTGGCTGGCTGGTCTTTTGACAAAAATGTTTGACTTTGTTAAAAATTTAAAAAGCGCATTCACTTGAAGGTGGTTTCGATTTTGTTTTCAATAGTTCACGCTTCATCCATTAAAATTATATCTTTATCTGAGAAAAAACGTAAATCTTGAGTAAATTACAAAATCTACAGTCGACAAGCTTTGTGATTAGTGTTTTTAATTTGTGATATAATTCAAAGAATGGTCGATTGAATTGTAAGTAAACAATACATTTGAACACAAGTTGCTAAGTATTTTGTGATTTGTACTGTTGTGTTTTAAGTTATGTTGCGCTCGTAGTAGAATATGTTGTCTTTATACCGTTTTTCACAATGAGCTAACAATAATCAGTTACATTTAAATGCATAGAATAGACCAATATATGATTTACAACTAGCCGCCCGCAACTCCGTTCGCAATCAATATTAAAAAAGACTTATTTAGTAACTGATGCAACCTTCCAGACCATATTCTACATCTAAACTAAATTTTCATCTCTAAGGGTTCCAAAGTTCCAATGTTTCAAGTTACCAAGTTACAAGAAAACTAACATCTTTCAATCCAAACATTTGTATTTATAATATTAGTATACAAGTAACATAATTAACTTCTTTTATAGTCAAGTAATGTGATGAAAACAATATATGACAAAAAATAAATCATTTGTGTTCTCAGTTTCCAATAAGTAGACATAATGCATTTCAAAATATCTTGGTCATTAATTTTACTAATATTATAAACAAGCTGTTGCCCGCGACTTCGTCCGCGTGGTATTAGAAAACATACGAACTATATAAATTACAAAAAACTACGTATCCCTCGGGAACCAGACATGTCTCGGGGATGAAGCTTATCCCATGTGTACTCCAGACTTTGTTTTATATCTGTGCCATATTTCATTAAGATATGTTGAACCGTTGCAGAATGATCATGTAAACATTAAAAAACTAAATTTATGAATCCTACGGGAACCGTAACTTATCCCGGGATTAAAAGTAGCCTATGTGTTCTTCCAGACTATGTTCTAAACCTGTGCCAAATTTCATGGAGATCCGTTCAGCCGTTTAGGCTACAAACGCTAACAAACATCCATCTATTCATCTAAACTTTCGCATTTATAATATTAGTAAGATGTGAAAGTTTAGATGGATGTTTGTTAGAGTTTGTAGCCTAAATGGTTATACAGATGTTGATGAAATTTGGCATAGATCATAGTATAGTCTGGAAGAATACATAGGTTAGGTACTTTTGTTTTTTTTTAATTCCATGCAAAGTCACAGGAATATAATCTATTCATATGTAACAATTGAATGTTCTATTTATCACCATATCTTTTGTTTTCATGGTTTAAATTGCACATGTTTGCCCCCTTTTACTATATAAAAAAAAAAAAACATGTTAGAATATTTGTTACATTACAATATATTTACTGGTTTGATGGTTACAAGTGTTGGAAATGTAACAATTGTGCACAAGGCCCAATTGTAATCCCCTTTCATAGGTGATTTATCCTCTTTGTGTGTATTTTCCCTGTACATTAAAGGTGGGCAAAGCATCTGCAAATGCATGTCTATGAGCAGCATTTGATTTGATTTGATTTGCTATTTTGGTTAATTCTTGTGTCCTCTTGTGTGTTTGTTATCTATTGCAAATATAAAAAAAAAACTTCAAGCTAACTAAATCTCTAAGAGTATTTAGTTACTTAGACTAGAAGACTTAGAATCTACCTTATACAAGTATTTTATTAGCTCTGAACTAACATCAAAATGCTCATTTCATAATCTATGATGTAATAACTATTGCAGATTCAATGTGAGATGGGCGATTCTTCGTCCACGCCATCGCTCTCGCCCACAGAAGCGGAGCCTAGCAGCCCCAACCTATTCGAGGCGGAGTCTCCACCGCGCGCC